AGCAAGCTGCTGCACTTTCCCACAGAGGTCACAGTGCCTGTGGAAGTCGTCTCACATAAGGATTAATAATAATAATTTACACTGTGGGAGTGCCAAGGATTCCCTCCGTGTTGGATACTGCACGAACATAATATTACAGACAGGAAGTTCCAGGCTGGTGACCAATGTGGTGAACACACTTCTGGTTGTCTCTCTTCATACTCCAAGCTCAGCAACATGTGACGAATTCATGACATTGCCAAGTTATTAATTTGAACAGGTGGCTTTCACATTGTTTTTTTGTTGGTGGTGTTGTTTCCAAAATAAGCTATAAAGGAAGATCCAACCTTGGGGATCTCACTACAGAAGGCCCCAAATTCTCATCCAACTGGTGGTAAGGGTGCATCCTATCCTGCCAAGCCAGGGGAGCCTCCAGCCCAGAGATTCTGTTTGCATCTCAGCACAAAGCCTTCTTTTTGCCTTCTTGAACTTTCAGAGATGGTATTATTACACCCTTAAGTGACGCTGCTCAGGGTGTAGTGTTAATCTGGGCCATTTAAGAGATTGTTGTTGTTAGGAAGGAATCTGATTGTCCTGAAGCAGTTTGGGGCTAGCCTTGCAGAGCTGCTATGGAGGCTCCCAAACTTCAGGGCTTTCCCAGATCCAACACAGGATGGACAAAGAACTGGTGTCTCCCTGCTAGAACAATTTTGCTGCTGGGCTGCATTGCTGAAACCTCAGTTACCCCTGACCACACAGGTCCTATTTTTTTTTATTACAACTGAAATATAGCATTACATCGGGTTAAAACATGTAGCAGCTCAACAGCAAAACTGCTGAAAACCTGTGAGCACACACGCGTTGATTTTCTGGTGTGCAGTGCAGATGGCAACATTTTTTCCCCCACTCTTTGCGTATCTGTAAGTGACTGCGAGGCAGTGTAGAAGGAGGCAGCTGCATTCAATTAAAGAGAAAGGTAAAACGATTTGCTTTGATTTTCATGTCGCAATTTAGAGCAGAGGGGAGATGTTTCAAACCTTGTGATAGAGCTATTCAAACTGAGTGAAGTCCTGTACAGCACAGCCCAGGTGTAGGAAACTTTACGAAAGCTTACATTTATTTCTACAGTAACAATTAACCTTTTATCTCCTGCCATTCTCAACTGATCTACGTTGCAGGGCAAGCTGCTTAGCCAGCTTCAGGGGACACTGATGCTTTGGGTTCTCCAACCCCACTGGAGCACAGTGGATGCACAATGCCCTCACGCTGAGCGTCCCCCCTTTTATTTCTTCATTTTATTTGTCTATCAGGTTTAGCTGCCGGAATTGTTTCATTTCCAGGAGAATAAAGGCGGGATAGCAATGAAAGCCCTTTGAATGCGTGTACCTGGGACTGGGGGGGCCAGCCAGGGGTTGCCGGGCGCATCCCCACTCCGCACCGGCGATGGCAGTGCGCGTCCCCGCGGATCCCCCAGGGGGCGCGCTCCGACCGCGCAGCCGCGGCAGCGGAACCTCCGGGACCCACCGTTAATTACGACGATCGTAATTACAGCAGTAACATTAATCATAGTCGTAACAATAATCATAGTGCCATAATAAACAACTAAACCTGCGCTATTTCTCAGTCAGCCTCCATCGTCACTGCATCCCGCTTTCTGGATTTTTTCCCCTCCCGTCTTTTGCTTGGAGCTTCAGGTTGAAGCTCCTGGCTGTTGCAGCGCTGAGGCATCCTCTCTGCCATCCATGCACACGTGCAAAGGTGGAGCAAACAGGGCAGGAGTAGGGGCACAGTAAATCCTTATAGGTGGCCAGTCTTTTCCCTCGATTACTGATCTTTGCTGATGAACACAGTTGTATGAGTACGTCTTCACAGATACGTTTCTTGTGTACTGGGTGGGATGAGGGTTAGCTAAGCACAGATCTGGCTGCCTCCTGCTTCTCTTGCCCAACACACGTCCTCATTTATCCTCACAGAACCAGGGCTCAGGCAAACCTTTAGCACCAAGCAGATTTCCCAGGTACATAGGTGACTGCTAAATTGCACTAAAGTTAGATGAGAAAAAGAGAAAGTCATGTGAGGAGAGCGGCAAATTCTCCAGGTTAAGGTGGCAGGTGGGTTAAGATGATAGACTTTGTTCCCTGCTCCTACTTAATCAACTATATTAACTTCTTTTTCAGTGGATTTTCTCCTTTTCTGAGTCTCACCACACCCTGCAGGAGAACGTGTTAAAAACATTCTGCTATCCAGGGAAGGGCATAGTCTTCTAATCTGTGCATAAGGAGGAAGAGAGAGATATTTGGAGTTTATAGACAGCTGAATACTAACATCAGTGAATATGAAGGAGACAGCTGACTGGCAGTTGTCCCTCAACATGATGGGGATGGAGACTGCTTCCACTGCAGCTCTGGTGCTTCTGGCAACAAGAGCAGCACACCCTGACCATCTGGACATACCATTGGTTGCAGGTTGCTCATAGGTTCCCAGGGAAGCCTAAAAAGGCCATGATGCCTCAGCCCAACACTATTTCAGAACCTCATCTTGTGTACAATGATAGAAGACATCACACTGCAAGAAATTTGCCTTACAACTGTGTCAAAATGTTCAGCCCTGGTGAAGGAAGGAAGGCATTAAATGCGTATATTTCTATCCTGTGTTCAGCAAACTATAGCACGTTTTAAAGCGAATGTGAGCCATGCAGGATTAGAAAGGATTTCTGCCTCCCATGTAACCCTGGGGACCAAACCAGAGCATGGACTGTTGGTGGTGGAAGGGTTGTCTCAGCATAAGGCCAGCAGCCCCTTTGCTAGATTCTCCATTTGTTCTTTCTTTCTTCCACTAAGGTAACCTTGCTCCAAGAGAAGGCAGTTTCCCAAAGACTCCTTGGCTAATTTTAGAAAAAAAGGCCTAACTTGCCCCACTTATTCTCAGTGTTAGGAATGAAAGAGCCTTTTTGCACCAATGGCTTTTTCTCTGTTTGCACCAGTGCGAGCAAGGAACGAGTCTGACTTTAACAGAAGAGATAAAAATAAAACCAGCAATGGACAAAGCCAATTATATTCCCCATTGCCTAGGGATGGGCAACCTAATTTGCAGCTGACAGTGATTTGATGGACTGAACCATCCTTTTTCTGATCCAGCATTCAGAGTAATTTTTATTGTAAACCAATCACTGCAGTGTAGGACTCTCAGTACTAGCAGTGTCACCATGACAAATTCCCAGGGCAGTGCTAGTGTTGCTGCTGGGGTTTTTCTTCCCATCTTTCACAACCTGATGTGCTCTGGGAGGTGCTGGACACAGCACACCATGCCCTGTTCTCAACACGAGCCCTAGGCAGAACAACTGGTGGGTTGAGTGAGCACGATGCTGCCAAACGTGATGGTACCAGCACTGGGGGACACATTCCCAGTCTCACTGCTGTCATTTTGGCAAGGATGCTAAATTTAGTCTACTGGTTTGGAATAGGCATACAGCACATTAAGCAGGGGGCTTAGCAGGGCACGTTTTCTCCTGCATCTTCATCTGTGATTGGCTCCAATTTTGCTTCTTTTTGTGGTTTATAGGTCATAAAATTACAATTTTACTCCCTAAGGATATTGTACTAGTTTGTGTCCAACATCTGTGCACTCTAGTAATTGCTAAGGCTTAGTGCAGTGTCCTTATCTTCCCTGAACTGGGGTAGAAGTGAGGCTTCAGCCCAGCCTATGTTGGACACCACCTTACTCCATTGGAACCTGATTCTCACCATTTATTCTCACCAGAACCTGAGCAATTTTTTTTTTATTATTATTATTTTTTTTTTTTTCTGAAAAGCCAAATCCCTGTTTGTTGTTTTTTTTGTTTTGTTTTTGAGATGTGGGACTTCACTATTCTGCAGTGGAAGTACCTTACACTGGGTTATAAAAGCTGTGGTTTGCACAGATAGGAGGAAATTTGGAAAAAGTAACCTGGAAGGTTCCTGCAGAGCTGAGACCTGTGGCTCCTGCAGACAGTTTGCCCTACATTCCCCTGCCATCTCTGTGAGAGCACACTGTGTACCCAGAAGGCTGCAGCTACACTTCTTTCCCCACGTTTCTGCCTAGCTGTGAAATCTGTGCCTTCCTTCTTTCCACTCTAGTATCCAGCAAGGACTGATTAACGAATGATAGACAGACACCTACTATTGCTAACAGGAGGAACAAAAGCCTACAATTTTCATAAGACAGATCACTGAGACTGCTCTCCTATTGCATAGCCTTATCAATACCTCTACTGCCAAAGCACAGCCTGAAAGGAGTGTGATTAAAGCTGTCATGTCAGCCCAGAGAAGGTGAGGCAGGGTTGTGGTAATGGTGCACCTTTGCTTCTGCTCCTTCCATGCTTTCTGTTCAGCACACTGACACGAACACAAAAGTAATCATGCACTGAAACGCTATAAGGAGCAAACCATGCATTTCCTACGCTCAAATATTTGTTTTTATATCGATCAAAATAGATAGATTTTATCAGATAAAAAAAATCAAAGTGAAGGTAGAGGAATATACTCATTCATTGTGATAGAATTTAAAAGTTCCAATAATTCAGGTAAAAATCTTAGAATCACATAAGTGAAGTCAGCTTAATTATTTGTACCAAGAAACCAAGCACAGTGTTGGTGCCTCCTTACCTAAATAAGTGCTTCTCCTTCCATGAATTTGGCTTCTTTTAGTACTTTGCTTTACAACAGGAAGGTTTGGTCCAGCAGCATGTGTCCAGGCAGAGACTTCTGGAAGTGTCTCCAGGTGCTGCTGGAAGGGGATGTGTAGCACTTACGCTCTGCCACCAACATGCATCTGGAGAGAATCATAGAACATTTTGGTTTGGAAGAGACATTTAAGATCACATAGTTCCAACTCCCCTGCTATAAGCAGGGACACTTCTCTCTAGACCAGGTTGTTCACAGCAGTCCAGCCTGGGCTTAAACACCTCTGGGGAGGTGTAATCCACAGCCTCACTGGGCAACATGTTTCATTGTCTCACCACCCTCACGGTAAAGAAATTCTTCCTGATATCTAGCCTCAGTATACCCACTTCCAGTTTAAAACAGTTTCCCCTCATCCTGTCACTATCTGCCCTTATAAAAGTCCCTTTCCATCTTTCCTGTAGGCCCTCTTGAGGTTCTGGAAGGCCACTATAAGGTCCCTCTGGAATCTTCTCTTCTCCAGGCTGAAGAGCCCAAGCTCTCTTAGCCTGTCCCCATGGGGGAGGTGCTCCAGCCCTTTGATCATCTTTGTGGCCCTCCTCTGGGTCCTCTCCAACAGTTCCATGACCTTCTTGCATTGGGGGCCCCAGAACTGAATATGGGTGAATCTCCCAGCTATCTTTTTTGGGGTGCCATCTGATAGAGGAGCTGCTGAAATGGAGGAAGGTTCTCCATTTCCCAACAAGGAGAACACACGGTTGGGTACCCAGGAGCCGCCTGCACAGGGGGTGTGTGTGTCTGCACATCCCCATGTGTGCAGCTTGGGAAGCTTGCTGAGACATGCAGGAATATTCTGCTATGGGGCTGTGGCAGCTGTCAGCAGTTCTGGGATGTCTGTATGGAACTGGGGTGAGAACGGTGCCCTTGTCTCTGTGGCGCAGATGGAAGCGATAAGTCTTTGCAGACCTGCTTCAAGAGCAGCCCTGTGAAAGGAAACAGATTGCCTGGGGCCAGACATTTAAGAGGGTCTTACGCTTCTCTTTGCACTTGCAAAGTGCATGTTCTCTCTCTCAGTGAAATATTGCCCTTCCAGAACAGACTTGGATGGGGAAATGTCCTGCGGTGCATCCCCCCTCAATGAGTTGCACTGAGCTGCCAGCATGCATACAGGGCATCCTCATGCAGACAAATTCTTAGCAATAGAAAGGCCACCATGCATCCAGTTTATGCTACTTATCTTCATTTTTCCACAGTTCTTTTCTGTGTTGAAAGGTTCCCCACATTCACAGTTGCTCTTCCCAAGGTCGGTGTTGGTGTGCTTGTCATCCAACCTGCTTGGCTTGGAGTTTCCGTTGAAGTTTGGATAGAAGTGCTTGGTGTTGGCGTCAAGTTTGCATCAACTTCGCTACAATTCATTTAAGAAAAAAGAGGGTAAAGGGTTGCATAACATAAAAAATATTTCTAATTTTTTTTTTTTTTTTTTTTTTTAACATTTACTTTTTGAGACAACATTCAGTTTGAGTTTCTAACAGATCAGGGTTGCATTATATATGTTATGATGATATTAAAAAAATAAACAGAAGGAAGCTAAACTGTTTTAATCCATGGAAAGTGGCTTTTCCCACAGATACTTTGGACAGATGTTGAAATTATGTCGTGGTTTAGAACGACATTGAATTCCTTTTCCTAATAAAACAATACTTTCATTTTTACATAGCAGTTACACAATTTCAGTTTGTTCACCTGGGTTAAATGGATGGGATGGGTTAAAAAGGACCACAGCGATCATCTAGTTTCAACCCCCCTACTATGCACGGGGTTGCAAACCACCAGACCAGGCTGCCCAGAGACTGGTTTACATTGAACAAAGATTGTGGTCAAAATTTAACAAAACAGGGGCTAAAAGTTCAGTTCCCAAATTCCTGTTTACATCCACAGCTACAACACTTGAGGTGTAGTTACTGAGCAGTCCCATTTCTCACCTATTTCAACAGTCCCATCCATCCCACTTGTCCAAAATAGACATCTTATGGCAGTCTATATCTACACAATTACTTCTGAATATTTTTATTTTATCTTTAATGTTAAATCCCCTTTCTGCAAATGAGAAGGAAATGATTTTCTAGAAAAAAAAAAATCATTTCTATTTCCTCCTTAACATCTTCTTTATGGTGTGTTTTGATTTTGATTTTAAAGTTCCTCCACGTATTTACCTTTTGTAGATCACTCCTTTCACAAGACTGATCTCTTCAACTCTTTGGAAGGGTAGATAATGGGAGGACAATGGGAAATTGTTTTAAGATGAAGAAGAGAAGATTTAGTTTGGATATCAGGGAGAAGTTCTTTACCAAGAGAGTGGTGAGGTGCTGGATCAGCTGCCCAGAGAGGTTGTGGATGCTCCGTCCCCAGGGATGTTCAAGGCCAGGTTGGATGGGGCCCTGGGCAGCCTGGTCTGGTATTAAATATGGAGGTTGGCAGCCCTGCCTGCAGGAGGGGGTTTGGAACTTCATGATTCTTGAGGTCCCTTCCAACCCAAGCCATTCTATGATTCTTCAGAATGATCTTCAATGCGTTAGGTCTGACTGTGAGTGGTGCAAAACTTAGTCAGTTATTTTTATTACACAATCAGTTTTTCTCAAAGTCTGTCTTCTGGGTAGATTTTAATACGTATCTAAATACCTTAATATTGTTTTCTCAAAGGAGGAAAACATTCTAACTCATTCTAGGGATTATAAAAGTAGTAATTTTCTTGCAACTGGCCCTTAATACAGCTAATAGCTCTTGGCGTCACCTTAGGATGGTTAACAAGGCCATCATTAACTGTGGTTAATGAAAAAGTAATTAAACTTTTTTAAAATCTAATCCTGGATGACAAATCATTGTAAATCGTGCCCTCGGTTATTCGTGTCACTAATGTGAATAAATGAGTTTTAAGGTCTATATATGCATAAAACAAAACTGTAAGCAAACATAGCGTGAATCCTGCTGGTTGTCAATAGCTGTTTCTTTCAATCGCTTTTAAAACTTCTTAAAAAGTCCATGACTTCGGGTATAATTTTTTGAAGAATTAAGAAAAAACCTTAACATGTTCTGTGAGAATCCCAAAATCTGCTGTGGGATTATCTTCACTCACTTGAAAGATCATCAGCCAAACTGTGGAGATTTAAAAGAGGGAGGGCAGAGGTATTGCAAATCTAGCAAGACAGAGTTCAGCAAAGCAACCTTGCTGGATTTCAATTTTTATAAGCTGTCAATAGAAGCAAGAGACAGTAAATTTATATATATATATATATATATATATATATATATTTTTTTTTTTCCTGATCTGAATGCGCCTAAGAGAACTCAATAAAGAAATAGAAATAGGATCAATACATTCTCTCTGAAAATCAGTTTAGAAGGAGCCACGATGTCTCAAGGAGGAAATGCTAACTAGTCAAAAAGCCTTTCACGAAACAAGTTAGAAACCTTCTAGTAAATCCTTTGCATGTTTCAGATATACTGGCATTAACTCATAACCCCCCAAACATTTCCCATACATGACCAGTCCTATTTATGGCTTCTAGGTCATAGAATCACAGGAACATGAAGGTTGGGACAGACCTCTCAGATACGTAAGCATAACCCCAGCCCACTCCACATCCTTCAGTGCCACATCCCCATGGTTCTGGAGCACGCCCAGGGATGGTAACCCCACCACTCTCTGGGCAGCTGTGCCACTGCATCACTGCTCTTTTAGAGAACAAACGTTTCCTAATACCCAACCTGCTGTCAGGCTTATACTGCCATAATGCTTGTTATCACCCGTGAAATCTCTTTTGTGCTATCAAAGCACCCTGAGGAGCTCAGTGGGCTGGGGCACAGCCCTCTCCTCTTACCTGGAGGTGGATATGCCTGGGACCACCAGCCCCATCCATCTCACACAGTTTCCCTTGGATCCGTAGGGTGGCTGCACACACAGAGTCTTTCTGCTGATGAGAAGAGAGGATTTCCTTTAAAGTTCTTCTTTCACACAGTGAGTTCTCTGTCCTTTCTTCAGGTGCTCTCAGTACTACCCAGGCTATTCCTACTCCTCCTCTGGGGCCAGAGGACGTGACCTGTTTTCACTTTCTCTTCTCTCATCTTTCACCCCCTCCCATAAGACTGCAGTGTGCTCCCTTTACATTACTCCAAGGCCAAAAACAGCCCACTCTGGCTCACCTTGTGATTCCTCAGACCACATCCCTCCGAGATGCTCCATCTGTACTCCGTGCATTCAGATCTGTCGCACTGCAGGGTCACCTCCTTTGTGTGTCACATTGTCTCCTTGGCCAGGGTGCATTCGTGCTTTAAGGTAAAGGCTGTTCTCTGTGAACTTTAAAGACCTAGAAGTTACTCATGGGCAAAAGTTATTTCCTGTCATCAAAAGCAAATGTATTTCATGCCTATACCTACTGCTGAAAAAAGCCCAGATAAATTCATTTTCAGATTCAGAAATCAGTTTTCCAAGCATAAGAATGTGTAATAGAGCAATTATGGGCATTCCCCCAAAGCTGCATTTATGAAAAACCTCCCATGAGGAACGTTTCATGTATCTGACTTGGAAATGCTTTTATTTTTATAAATTCCTTTTTTGGAAAAGTGATGCAATACTATCCATAACGCATAGCATTGCTTTGAGAGGTCGTGTTCTGCAACCAGCATTGCTGCTGCTTGTGATGGGAAAGCAGTGTGAGCAAACTTTCTTGGTGACATTCACAGCTTTGTGGAAAAAAAGACATTTAAACTGATGATTTTTTTTAAGATGTAATTTGGAAAAAACCCTAAGATGTAATTAAATCTGGTCACAACATTTCTGTGATTGAAGTGATGGATAACAGATAGGTTGTGCTTATCCCTGATGTAACAGCATTGTAGCAAACGCTCCCTTTATTGCATTACAGATGATATATCAAGCAACGTTAGTCATTCCCATGAATAACTCTGGTCTGATTGAGTTTCATTCCTTATTAGGGAGAGTTCCACAGCACAGAGTGTTGTACCAGTAATATAACACAGAAATTGCTTCTAGCATGTGGAACATGCAATTATAATAAGCAAATATTTAACTCAAACCATGCTCTTGGGATCACAATGTCAATAAGAGATATAAAAAAACTAATTGTTTCATCAGCCTGAGGCACAGGAGAAGGGGCTGGAGCCAAGGTGGGCTGCCAGGGCTGCCCCGTGCATGAAGCTCAGCTCATGGGAAGGTGATGATTAAGCTGATCATAAATGCAGGCTGGGATTAGTTTTATGATCAAGACATTGAACACCAAATTAATAAGCATCAAGTTATGACAGTAATAAATGGCAATGGCATGGGAATGGCAGAAGAAGCAGCTTGAACCGTCAGGCAGCTGCTTGCACGCAGGTTTAACTGCTGCCTGGCTGTTGCTCTGGGAAGGAAAAACAATTTTTTTGTGACTTCCCCCTTAATAGTCCTTCAAGGGCTTGGGACAGTCGAGACCCAAAGAAGCCCCGACACAAAATTCAGCTAAGAGACAGATTTCTGCTCCTTCAGAGCCTTCTGCCTTTCCCGGTGAGCTGACTGCAACGTGCTACTATTCATCAGTATTTTCATTCAGGAGACAGACTCATGAACTCTCATTTTCTATGGGAGATTTCTTCTGGGGCCGGCGTTGCCAAGCAGTGATTAGATAAGATGATACCCTGGGAAATTCAAGATGGAATAAAAGCCCAAGCGGGTATGCAGCTGAGCTGCAATGCTATCAGTCCTTATTGAAGGGGCCTTCAACTGGGACATTCAGAGGGGCTCTTTTAAAAGCACCAGCTCTCTAATGAAGCTTAATGGTTTTGAACGGACGGTACCTCGCAGCAGAAGCTGCTTAGATGCTTAATAATGGCATAATCATCTTCTGTCAGCCATTTGGTTGGCACAGAATGCTTATGCCTGCATTGTTCCATTTAAGATAGATATATTTACGTTTATTGACTTCATATACTTTCATATCATATCCCACTACATGTATCACAATATCCTTTGTTTTGAAGGCGGGACTGCAGAGATTCGGATCAACTAACATCATGGGAAATTTAAGGTGAACCAGAGCCAGTGCTGATAGAAGTAGAACTGAGTTTGGCCGCCCCAGTTCCAGTGCTCTTTTATGGAAATCTGCTATCTCATCAGGAACCTCTTATCATCACTTTGAAAGAGTTTGTGTGTCAGGATGAATTGAGTCATTAATTGCAAATACATCAGTGAGATCTTGGAATACAAGATGTATATGAATGCATGTGAAAACTGTTGAAGGAATGAAAAGGACAGATAAAGTGAGGCAGCGTAACAATGAAAAACACTGAATAGGAAAAGTAAGAACAGAAGATGCTTAAAAAAAAAGAAAAAAAAAGAAATGCTTTTAAAGAAAAGGCAACTATCATATACAGAAAGGGAAAAGGCAAGAGTCAGAAATAGATGTGAGATATTCCCTATGCTTTTAAATACATCAGTTACAGAAATCTGCCATAAGATGACATTACATTGCATTATATTATTAAGCACATAGATTTTACGGGGCTCTCACTCCCAACATCTGATGTAGAACATAAGTTCCAAGCACAGCACTGTGCAGTGAAATTGCAGGATAAGGACCATTGGGAAGATACGCTCTTTCAGACCTTCAGGTACTACTGGATTTATTTCACATTTCTGAATGGATTGTGTGAAAGCAAATTAAAAACATAAGGAAAGTATGTGGCATAAGTAATGGGATATTCAGCTGGGTAAAAGCACTGTTGGATGCCCTGCTACTATACCAGTGGCTTTGATGGTGATGTAATCTCAAAGAAAGCACTGAATCATGCTATCAATTAACTTGAGCAGCAATGTATATACATAGGAAGTGTTGCATATTAGACAAATTTTAGTGTATTGTGAAAAAATTGGTGAAGTGATTGGAGGATCTCTCTTAATTAGCCATACATCTTTTTGAACATTCACCTACAGAGAACCGAGGACAGTGTTAGCAACAATGTGATACAAAATAATTAGCTTGTTTTCAGGGCTTAAATAGTCATTACTTTCTTGTGAAGTCCCTAATTAAGCTAATCCTAGTTTATAATACATTAGCAACCACTCTTTATGTGGAAGCTACTTCTCAGAGGATAAAAATAACTTCAAAGTTTGAAATGCTCAAAACTGTATGCAAAATTGTAGAGCTCGGGACAGGAGCAATATAGATGAAGAAATTCCTGATTTATTCCTTGCTGCCCACGTGCTGTTTGTTCACCTGAAGGCTGCAGATATAACTGTTTAAAGGCTCCAGTGAAACAATTCCCCCCTTTCTGCTTTGAAAGCCTGTTACCACGGTTTTCTTAGGAGGTCCTGCTATAGCGTTGCCCAATTATTTCCTAAGAACCACAAAGATATTCTTTCTTACTGACTCATGCTCTAATAGATGAAGGACTATTGTCAGTTTGATATTTGACTTCAGTCAAAGGAAAAGAGCTGATAATACAAAGCTGGCAACACAAAGCACAAAGCCTGGGCTGCAGGACACAGTGGGCTCTGACCCTTATCCACAGAGAAAAAATGAAACTGAAGAGGTAGAATTAAGCTCTGTTTTGGGACTGGAAGGCCTGCACCCAGCTGTTGCCGTTTGTTCACAGTGGGCAGAATTAGCATCTTCTTCAGCTTCGTGCTTTGCTTGCTGATTTGCCTACCATCAAGTGGAGGCAATGTTGAGTTACAAAGCCTCAAAGAGGTGCAGGAGTAAGTTCATATGCAAGGTGATGGAATCAGCTGACATGGCAAAACCCAGCACCACATGGCCTCAGCTGAAAGGAATGATTGATTGAAAAATTTGCTGAAAACCTGGCCAGTGAATTCTGCAAAGAGATCAACTTGAAGCAGGGAAGGCTGGCTCTCCCTACTTCTCAGAATTACTGCAACAAGGAACCACGTCTCCCATTTAAAAACAGAGCGGAACCTCTCACTTAAATAATTTGTAGAAGCTTTGCTATCAGCTTATGCTCAGAAACGAAAATCTGGGAAAGATAACCACAGCGAGCACGAAAACGCCTGAGATCGACTTTATATACAGCAAGCTGCAGGATTTCTACAGAACTATTTATCCAAACATCTCACTGAAACGTGGGGCTGCCTCACCACATCATGTAATATTCTGTCTGTTCCTCCTGCACTTTCATTCCTGGTACAGTATCAATATTTCACAAACTCTTCTTACATGGGCTGTTTAATGTGTTGTAAGAGAAAAACCATACACAGTACGCATAATAGAAAGAGATTTCCTGCCAAAGATATTTAACAGACCTATGCAACCTAGCAAGAGGCATAAGGCAAAACACAGGGAAGCACAGTACAAATGATGTGATAACTGTGTGCAGCGATGTGGCCATGTATATATATAGAGCTTATTTTGAATCACCCTCTGCTCTGTAAGTCAGTGCTAGAGCTCCTGAACAGCTGGAGCTCAACTCCTCGAGTCTGCCCAGCTGGAATTTAAATAGTCCTCATTACACATGTACATGCCCACTGCCTCATGCTTTTTTACCTTTTTTTTTTTTTTTTTTTTTTTAAATGAACAGAGCACACTGAAGTTAGAAAAGATTAAGCAGAATTAAACATGGATGCCATTTTGCAGAAGCATTTCTCAGAAGACATGATTTTTATTCCTTTTTTTTCCTCCAGATTCTCCTTTAGCTGCGTTAGATCTGACTGCAAATGACAAGCTGTACACAGGAACCAGGCATTTATATCCCTATCATCACTTATTAACTGTTGATATTGTTGCTGACAGCGTAGTGATAATAATAGGGATTCTTTCAACACTTGGCCTCAAGATGTAGGAGTTTATGACATTCAAAAACATCTCAATGGAGCTGACAGGTGAAGGCATGTTCAGAGGCAATTCACACCAGGAGCAGTATGTAAGTGCCATACAAAGCTGACTGTGACCTTGAGAAGTCTTTGCCAACCCTTAGGAGCCGACTTAGGCATTCAGAAGCAAAGTCATTTTCTCTTAATAAGGTATCACTGTCTCCATCTGTAAATCACTCTACAGTGTCAGCGTGTTGTAATTCGTGTAGCAAAATGACTAATAGGAAATAATAGTGTTGCAATAGAGAGTGTAAGGAGAGCTGTGATTGAGTGAAAAACACGCTACTGGAAAGCCAGCTGTTCCCACTTCCCTGACTAATTGAAGGCATGAAGTGAACGCACTGATGTGCTGATTTCCTCCAGCTTGCATAAGATGCGAGGTTCTTCGAAGAGGCAGTAGGCTCCTGAAGGGCTCAGGCCCGAATAATGGAAAATACCTTCACTTCCAAAATTATTGCTTTA